TAAATTTGAAATAAAATATAAAAAATACTTGTATACAGTATTTGAACTCCTCTAATTGGTGATGATATAATTAGCATGGTTGTTGCCCATACATATATATGTGTATATATATATATAGAGACAGAAATAGTCATGGTATTACAAAGCTAGCTAGGGATTTCTTTTTAATACTATGAATTCCTATGTAGTTGTTGGAGAATATATATGCATATATTCCCTCATGAAAGCTATTGACAGTAACGGTGATGAAATCTCCAAGCAAACTACAAAAATACAAATTAATAAAAAAATAAACCAAATAATCAAAAGGAAACTTTTCAATTTCTTTTTTAAATGTAGATGATGAAATAACTTGCTTGACCAAGTCATCTTTATTTTGAATTATTAATTTAATTACTTTTTTTTAATTAACATGATTATAAAAGAAACATCTTTAAAAAAAATAAAATTTAATTTTTTTACAAAGGGACTAACATATATTCCTAAACTAATTAAACTAGTAAAAAGGAAGATCAAGTTAGCTAAGACAAGATTGAATTCATGTAATACTAATTTTTTTATTATTTATTTTTATATATCATCCTTCTTGGATCTTCTCACTTTAAAATGATTTGTTTCAAATACTTCAAAATCTATGTCAGATTCATCATAATAATCTTTAACATCTTGTTCAGTGATTTTTTCTTCAACATTGACCACCTCTTTTGTTATCTTCATACTGAGACTATTACTACTCTTCAGCCATTCCGCAACCTCTATCATGCTAGGTCGATTTTCAGGATTGCCATTCGTACATTTCATCGCGATCATAATTGTTAATTTTAATTGATCTGGATCAAATTTACCTTTTAACTTAGGATCTGCTATATGATCAAATGCGTCTTTTTGAATATATGGTGTAACCCATTGCACTATATCACGTTTTACTCCACCAGGCAACTTTTCTAATGGTTTTCTTGCACTGATTATCTCTAATAATAAGATTCCAAAGCTATAGACATCACAACTCTCTGAAACTTTTCCCCACATGGCATATTCAGGTGCTAAGTATCCAAGAGTTCCTTTCACTCGAGTGGTTACATGTGAAACGCCTTCTGGAATCAACTTTGCAAAACCAAAGTCAGCAACCTTTGCTTGAAATTCTGCATCAAGAAGCACATTACTAGCCTTGATGTCCCTATGAATTATATGAGGATTAGCCTCATGGTGCAAGTACCTTAAGAATAATAAAACACAAAAGAAAATTACATCAAAAGAGTAAAATTTATTATAATTCGCTCTCTTATGAGCTTTTAATATAGTAAAAAAATAATAAAGTAAAAAATTTGTAAACTAATATCTCAATAAACAAAATGAAATTTAGATAATATTGAAATTAATACTTAATTTGTAATAAATCAAATTCTTAAGATTGCTTACGCTAGTCCCTCTGCTGATCCAATGGCAATACTTATCCTTCGAGGCCAATCAAGTAAACAATCTGCAGCTAGGTGGCCATGGAGATGGGTAATCAAGCTTTGATTAGGCATGTAGTCATATACAATTAACCTTTCATCTCCACCGGCATAAAATCCCCTTAAACCCAGTAAGTTCTTGTGCCTCACCCTTCCAAGTATCTCTACTTCTACTGCAAATTCCATTTCTGCTTTTGCACTCATTGCCTTCAATCGTTTTACAGCTACCTATATATTAACATTAGGGGGTTATCATGCAATTAAAAAATCTAATCGTATATAGATAAAAAGTACATGAATTTTTTTATTTTCATCTACTATATGTTAAAATTGGTTGGTAATTAATGGAAAACCGAAAAAAAAAAAAAAAAAAAAAAACATAATTGCCTGGATGCCTTTACTTGTTTGACCCCAATAAACACTTCCAAACCCGCCTTCACCAATCTTGTTATCATTGTGAAAATTGTTTGTTGCATGAAGAAGCTCCTTGAGAGAGTATAGTTCCCATGGATAATCTCTATTCTCGCTCAAGCTTCAATCCAAAATAGAAAGATATTAGCACACACACACACACACAGATTAGAAGAAAATAATTAGTAGGAAGAATCAGATTATAAATGTTAGTCAAGAAACAGATTAAATTAGTAAAAAAAAAAAAAAAAATTTTTTACCTGTTTTCTGGTTTTTCTGCCGGAAGGAAGCATAAACAATATCTTCGAATCATTTTTTTTGCAAATTAAGGTGAAAAAGTATAAAAGACGAACAAGAGTTAAGTGTTGTTGGAGTAAGTAAATGAATCAAGTAATCAATCAAACATGCTGATAAAGGAGAAATAAGAAGAAGAAATAGAAAGGTAACAAATTTATTTGGGAGATTTTGAAGAAGACAACATAAAAAGAGTGTTATGTTGAAGACGAAAGAGCAGCCTAGGAAGTCAAGGAATTAATTAATTATATGATTAGGAGGCGTCTTTCTTTATGCTAATGTATTATAGTGCTTGTTAGTTTTTATCGAGCAATTTTCTCATTGGAAATATCATTACTAAATTCTTCAACATTTGACATTCTTATAATCATTTATTAATTAATTTATAATATATGGTTTTAGTTAATGTCATATAGGCGCCATATGATAATTATATCATTATTTAATCATTTCGTCATGTTTTTTGGGGTCTATTAGAACCATCAATCTACACCCTTCATTTGATTTGACTTACCTAATCAGTAATTTAAAAGAGTATTCAATTTATGTTATCTTCAATTCTATTAATTTATTATATCATGGTGTATGATTTAGTTTAAATTCATCCTACTCAATAATTATTTCTAAAACTATTTAATAAATAGTCATAGAAAAATTAACCTTACATTGATGGAGATGTTGTATTTTTAATCAATAAATAATTTATTTTCTAAAGAAATATTCAAAAGGTGGGGTTTTTTTTTTTTTAAAAAAAAAAAAAAACAAAAACAAAAAAAGTATAACTAATGGGTGGGCGCCCATGTTCATGAGGCACATTTTCATGAGGCCCATGTCCAAAAAGTATAACTAATAGGGCCTGCGCTTTCTAATGGATCTCGACCGGCCCAAAAGAATGGTCCATTTGGGTTCCATACGAGTATTTTTTTTGTAAGTTTTGTACTGCAGCTGCTAGCTAGTGCCAGACAAGTAATGGATTGGATCCCACCTACATAATTCATTTGATTATAGAAGAATATATAAATATTAAATTTTTGTATAATTAAGTTTCTAAGCTATTTTGCTTGCTTAATTAAATGTTAAAATTCTTTAGTTCGAAGACTTGAAATTTAAGATGAAAGAAAAGATAAATGTTTGTCAGACATTTATGTGAATTAAAAATTCCCGGCAACAAAGAAAAAGTAATATATAGTATATATAAATATATATAATAATAAATAAATAAATAAATAATTAATTAATTAATTAAATGTTACGGTGTTAGAATTTTTTTAAATATTATACTTTAATAAATTACTAAAAATATCAAATTCGTAAACCCTAAATTTATTTTCTTACATAATTTTTTGGAAGAGGATAGTAACAAAAGCAAATAAAGAGGAAGAGAAAGTTACCCATACAAATCTAAAGTCAAAGCTAATGTCAATTAATCTTTTTTTTTTTTATATATTGATAGAAAATGAGGGAGTTTGGGTAATTATTTTGCATAATTCTTATAAAAAATTTTTAATTATTTTTAGTAACGGCCCGTTTTTTCATATAAAAAATAAATATTACCACACTTATAAAATCTAAATAGCACAATAATATGTTAAATTTTGAGACCTAACTATACATCCCTTGCATAAAGTTACAATTCATGAGATTCACAAAATTTTTTTAACATTTCTACAGTAAATTTTAGATATATTATACGAAACAATTTTTTAACGCACGATGTCTTTTATGTCATCATCGATGAAATGCAAAATGGATCCTTCTATCGCATTGATAGAACACATACAAATTACACAATAGCCACAACAAATACATTTGCTAAGTGGTCCACACTCACACGAATGTCTATCCACATCTGAATTAGGTTTCAGACTCTATCCATGCGCAGGTTCACCATGCCCGCTAAACTTCATTCACATACACACACTCTCAAATGATCATTTGTTAACCTTAATTTCTTCTTTTTCTTTCTATTTTTACATTTTTATTTTTTTCTTTTTCTTTTTCAATTTTTTTCCCTAATTAAAAATTTTTCTTTTCAATTTCATAATTTATTAGTCCAAATAACTCATAGTCCATTGAATCTGTTTTTTAGTTTCGTCACCTCATAAGGTTCCAATTGCTTAGGTTTATTGATCATAATTTGAATTCTCCTTTTCCATCGAAATAGGGCAAATGTATGTTCAATTTCAAAATTCATAATTTTTATAAAATGAATGCACATTTTAAAATTTAACCTAGTTGAAATTTAAAAATATTTACTCTCCTACGCGTCTTTTTGGATTCGCCTGAATGTCCAACTTTTTATGTACACACAATATAATTAATTAAAATATTTCGAAATAATAAAAATTAATTTAATCAAATTATAGGTTCCAATGACCACCCAACGGAATACCTAAAATTAACAGGATCCGTACCCGAAAAACTTTTCAGCTCCCCGTTCAGCGAATTAGATTTTCATTTTTCGAGAAAAAATTTTCAGTTTCCCGAACAGCAACCGGATTCCCGTTTGTCGAGGAAGGCTTTTCAACTTTCCGAACAACGAATCGAAACCCAAAATGGTGGACCAGGTTCCCATGCTTGGGACCCTTCGGTTTCCTGAATGGGTCGACTTTCCCCATTCTCGAGGAAACCTCATCGGTTCTTGCGCGGGTGGGTGGCCCAGCTGAGCTCGCGCGACTAGCCCGACACCAACCCTGCCTCACCCCTGCCCAACCACCATCAAAACACGAAAACATAACGATTTTACTTTCGATGCGAGTGATTCAGCCTCAGCTCGGCTCCTAGTTGTCTCCTTTCGGCTACCCCGCGGCTCCCTAGCTTGGTTGAAACTCGAATGTGATTTTTCAAACCTACAAACCGATTAATAAAGGAAATAAAAAAATTTAATGGAATAGTAAGAGAAGACGAAAAAAAGGACGAAACTTACCTTTGCTCGCGTCGGTCTCTGTCTTCACACGACGTCTCGGTCGTTTTCCTTCCCTTCTGCTTCCTTTCGGCTTCAACTCCACTCACCGCCTCCACCGTTCTCGACTTCTCTTCTTCTCGCTCGGCCACCCTCTTTTTCTTCCCTTTTCTCTCTTTTCTTTTTCCCTTCCGGCCTCTCTCTTCTTTTCCTCTCTCTTCTCTCCTTCTCGGTTTTCCCCACGCCACAATTTTCTTCCTCCTCTCTCCTCGATCGACTCCTCTCTCTTTTCCCTCTCTTTTTCGACTATCCTTCAAAATGAAGAAGGAAACCCTAATTGGTTCCTTAAATACCAATCTTCTTGGCTGTTGGATTTTGCGAGGTTCAATTTGGGCTGTCAATTTTCTTTGAAATCTCCTCCATCCAATCTCCTCCAACAGTCCGATCTGGGCCATCCATTTTCCTGATTTCTTTTGCCAATTTCTAAATCTCCTTATTTATGTTTTTACCCCCCTTTTTCTTACCCACTTTCATTTAAGTTTCTAAAATTAATTAAAAATCATAATTTTTAAAAATTCCTTTCATTTACATCCAAACTCTAAATTTTATTTATTTATATATATTTTTTGTTTTAGGTGAATATTACAGCTATATTCCTATAAATTACTTTTGGTTTATTCATAATCTCATGAACGCAATATCGTATTCATATTAATTACACGTATTCATACATAAAATACCATTCTTTAAACTCTTATTCACGTACTGAATACCACTCCTTAAGTACATATTCACATAACAATAAATTCCTATCATTTCACCATACACAACCAGCACACATGTATAAATCGTATCATTTCATATGATAACACTTAGTCACAATCACGAAAGAAAAATAATACTAACACTATCAACATGGTCCTAATCATAGTTACACTCATATGTCATAATTACAATCATGGTCGTTGTTATAGTTACTATTCACATTGTCCCCAAAGAACACAAGTTATAGTTATAGTCAAGTTACTATTCACATCATCCCCAAAGAATACAAGTCATAGTTACAATCATAATTACGATTCACATCATCTGCAAGGAACACAAATCATAGTTACAATCACAATTACGATGCAAACAAACAGTTTATGAGATAAAGTTCATAATCATTCCTTCCCGATTCTTGATCACATAATTACACATATCTTACTAATAAGAAATCTTAATTGTCGATCATATGTATCTCCCATTAACCTTTAAATTTAACTACCTTCATTTAATTTTTTTTTTCATGTAAAATTCTATTTCTTTGCTTTCGAAAGGTTAAATATATTAACTTATAAATCATCAAATTCATCAATGCCTAAATTATTTTAATCTCTAGACACACCCAAAGATTTATATTCTCATATCTAGACTTAAATAAATGTTCAAACACAGGCATCTTATTCTTACGCTCTCACTCATTCACAATTATCGGACTATTCCCATAATCTTCTACTATTTTATCCAACTAAAATGCTCATAATCTTTAAATATCCACTTACAATTACAATTTTATCAAACTATTCATAATTCATAGGTCTACAATTATCTAATTCTAACAATCATACCCTTTATTCCACCACATAAATATTTCCATAATCCCGTCATATTTTATTTCCAGTAATGATTATTTATAAACCTATTTATAGCTTTAACTAAACTTCTTTCATTAATTTCATTTACCATTTCCTCTGGGCTGTTAGTCCAATACCATAATTAATGTTCGACCAGTTCATTATTATTCATTTATCTAATAAGTAGGAAATTTGTTTGATAACACTTGTATTCAGATACCAATTCTTAATTCCTTCTCTTCCCCTTCTTTCTTTTCTGTTTTGTTTTATTTCTTAGACCCAATAAAATCTGAATTCATATCTAGCCCCATCACAATTTGGTCTTGGGCAATAAAACCTAACCCAGCCTCTTATCATAATTATTATTATTCTGTTTATTCATTCCTTTTTTTTTTTGGTTCTCCCTTTTCTTTACCAAGTTGAACCCAGGCGCTTATTGGGCTTGCCCGCACTCAAAACTACCTAAGCTTGCGTATATGGGCCTAATAGGTTGCCAACCCGACCCGCTACCCGCCCCAAGCAAATCATCTTCTTCTTGCTTATGCTTGGGGACATACAGTAACTCTGAAGCGTTCCTTGTTTCACCAGATTTCAAGCTTCTCTCTCCACATCGTCATATACATAATACAGTTCAGATCTTTTTTTTTTTTTTTAATATTATCATTTTAAAACATTCTCAAAATAGCTAATCTCCACACAATATCATATCATCTACTCAGTCAAAGAATCCAAATCCCTACATTATTTCAAAACTAGGGATTTAGAGTAATAAACTAGTCTTACTCTTGACGGTGAAATTCACGATTGGTTCGACGACTCTTCTTTATCTAGCCATGGTCGTTTGATATACGCGCTGTCTGATTATATCCTTTCTTCCTCTTCGAAAATCTGGTCACCTCCTTTCTCTGTCTCACTCTCATGCTGCCGACAACCTCCCTCTCATTTCTTCTTTCTTAGTCAAATGGTGGCTAGGGTTTTTCTTTTTTCTCTTCTTTTGAAACCTTAATCCTATTTATAGTTGTCCTCATTAAATCCAAACCGTTAAATAAGAAGAGGAAATCCTCAACGTTGATTTTTTCTTTTTTTCATCAAAACGGCGTCGTTTTATTTGAGTTTCTGGGCCCAGCTTTTAAAGCAGCATCGTTTTGAAACAGATGGGCTGGGCTGCTTACTTAGGTCAGGATGTTACATTTTTACAGTAACTTGATTGTTTTAGCAAATTTATATAATGAATTATGTATTGTTGGGAAGCTCTCAGTGTGAGCTTTTCAACCGTGTCAAAATTGTAGTAAACTCTAATATGTACATTGAAAGAAAATCAAATTTAAAGATAACAGGTCGCAGATTTCTGGTATGATTTTTGGGCTGCTAAAATTTTTTTTAGCTATCTTTTGAAGTGATTCTTGAGTAGATATGATAGTCCTTCGAACAACTTCTCTAATGGTGCAAAGATCACATTCTAGTTCCTTGGAGATTTAAAGATATCACAATATTAAATTAAGGGTTCAATCATTCTAATTCGATTTTTTTTTTCAGATTCCTATATAAAACTCACTTATAAGTCACAAATAATGTAATTCATCCCTGATCTTTTAAATAGATATCGCCTTTAAGTTGCAGATAGTGTGATTCATTTCCGATCTTTTAAATATATTTGGAGCTAAAATTTGTATATATATTAAAAAATTGTATTCTATATTTTTATAATTTTTTTTTGAAATAATATATTTTTAAAATTGTGAATTTTATAATTCTATTGTTCTGGAGAGTCTGCTCTATTTTTTAGTGCTTTAGAACTTTGATTTTAATATTTTTTAGAGATGTGTATACTATGATATATGTTTTGCATTAAAACCTAATTTTTCCATTTGTTTCAATTAAATTTAAAAATTTTATTTTTGAGAAGATTTTGACACACCCATTAAGATTAAGTTGACCACCTTCTAGAGAGTTCAGAATAGTAAGATTGGATGCATAACATTAATTGGTATAAATTTAGATTTGTTTTGATGATTAAAAAATTATTGATTTTAGGTAATAATTTAGCTTGATTGGAGTATTTCTTTTAATAAGATTAGAATTGCTACTGAGGTAAATAACTTGTACTCATTAGTTATATTTGTAGTTTTGAGTAATACATACATATATTGTTGTTGGTGAGTTTCAAATTCTACTATTATATATATATATATATATTTGAGAACTCAAAATATTGCCATGCAATATATATATACATATATATTTTATAATTCATTAGGTTTCTCTTTAAGAAATATAATTATTAAATTATCTTCTTTGTATAATTTAATTATTTTGAGAATTTGTCCTATGAGTCATTTTTTTTTTGTAAATTTAAAGACTTTATCGTGAAAATATTTTTATATTTTTAAGTGCTACAGAAACTAGTTTATTGAAATTTCTAATTAGTTAAAATACATGACAAGAACTAAATTTATTAATAGTAAAAGATTATAGTCTCCGAATATTATCATATAAAATTAGTTAAATGTTGTACAAATAATGTATTATCCCAAAAATTGCCTTGAACTTTGAAGTAAATTTTGAAAAAAATTGGATCATTTTGTACTGTGCGGGTTTAAGGTGAAATCGGCCCCATCACCTTAAGTAGATTTATTTTTTTAATCGTGAAAAAATTACAGGCTCAAGTAGGTTTATTTCATCCGGCAAGCCGCAAAACTATGGAGATACTGTGAAGGAGTGATATGTGACGCTGGATGGCTAAAGTGCCAAGTGTGAAGCAGCAATTACGAAGGTGAAGAAGAAGCTGATAATGAGATGAAAGGAAGAATATGCAGATGATGAGATGAAGGAAGAAGATGCCAATGAAGAAGGAATGAAGAAGACGAAGGAGGCTTGAGGGTCTCACATGTCGACTGTGGTGGCTGCTATAGTGTTGTATCGAGCCATCAAGGGATAAGGGAGGAAGAGTGAAAATTTGAAAGTCCAACGAGTGTTAGAATTTTTAATTTTATTTAGATATATATTATTTTTTTAATTAACAAACAAAGTTGAGTTGTTTTCAGGCAGGTTTTTCCATGTTAAATTTGAACCTACACCACTCTAGTTGGACAGTTTCAAAAAATCTGCTCTGACCCGAATTCAATTTAGTTTTGGTTTAAACTCGCAATGATCTCAAATAGTGTGGATGGTTTTGGCAGATTAATGATTTATCTTTTAAGTGGGATTGTTAGAGTTTATTTGATTAGTGAACCATGCATAACTATGAGGTTTTGTCATGAATATTTGATTAGTGAACCATGCATACTATTTTGAGATAATACAGTCAGAATGTGATTGAAAGACTAATTGAAAAAATTCTTAATTCTATGACTTACTTCTCTCTATCAAACTATTATGCACAAAATTTTGTAACTTTAATTGATGGAAGATAACTTGAAAAGAGAATTTGTGCTCCTTTTATAGATAAAATGATAAGCCAAAACACATTCAAGATATTGAATGTGTTGATAACCGTTTCTATTATTGTAGTTTAATACCCATAAAATACAATAATTTTATAATTTATTTTAAAGTTACATACTCTATTAAGATATATATTTTTTTTATAATGATTATCTATTATCTTGAATGTCTTTTAAGTTGGATTCAACCGTTATAAGTTGATGAAAAAATAAAACACTAGATCAGTAAGTCATACACCTAATTACTAAAATTAACAATCTCCAACTTGACCCATAAAACTGATTATAAAAACTATAATATATATATATATATACATTTTATACTAAAATATATTTATTAGTAAAATAAATTTGATACGTGATTACAATAAAATCAACGAATAAGCTCAAAATTATTATACCATAATACTGAAATAACTTATATTATAAATGTGAATCATAACAGTCACATGACTTCAATGTTACATTCCCTTCTATACACCACACACTAATAACTGTTATAAATTCAGTCTATAATGCCAAAATAATATCTATAATTTGTCTTATCAAGAAATTTTCTATTGATTAAAAACTAAATTGTACACCCATGATTAAAAATAAAAAATAATACAAACAAATTTTAATACGCAAAATGTCAACTATTCAACCACTGAAATATCTATTATCATATTATGGATTATTCAAAAGACCTAACCTTACAATATGTTCTGCATATATATTTGGAGGTAGTCTTTTAGTCAATGGATCAACAATCATAAGTGTGGTATTAATATTTTCAATCGACACTTCTTGTTTATACACTCTTTCTCTAATAACTAAATACTTTAAGTTTATGTGTTTGGATCCATTAGAATATTTGTCATTCTTAGATAAGAAAATAACTGCAATATTATCACAAAATATTTTCAGCGGCTTGGCAATAAAGTTAACAACACCAAGCCCTGAAATGAAATTTTGCAATCACAAAGCATAAGTTGAGGTTTCAAAAACATGCTATAAACTCAGCCTCCATTATACTACTTTACACTCTTCCTCGAACTTGCCCCATTTACTAACATAAAGATAAAACCTGAAGTAGACTTTAAGCTATCAGCACAACCACCATAATCGGAGTCCAAGCATCCAACCACCTCTAATTGTTCTGATATTTTATATGTGAACATATAATTTTTTGTCCCTTGAAGATACCTCATAACCTTCTTTATAGCTTTCCAGTGTTCAATTCCTAGATCACTTTGATATCTTCCTAATATACCAACAACATAGCTGATATCTAGTTTAGTACAGGTTTAAGCATATATCAAACTTCTCATAGTAGATGCATAAAGAATGTTCTTTATCCGTTCCCTTTCTAAGTAATTTCTTGGGCACTAACGTTTACTTAATTTGTTACCTTTAAAAATGGGTGCAACATTAGCTGAACATAACTGCATATTGAATCTCTCCAAAACTCGGTTAATATATCTCTTATGCGACAAACCTAATAATCATCAAGAATGATCTATGACAATTTCTATTCTAATAACATAAATTGCCTTACACATCAACTATCTGAAAGTTTTTAAAGAGATATTTCTTGGTATCGTATAACAAATCAAGATCATTAGTAGCTAGCAAAATATTATCTACATATAGTATCATAATTATAAATTTGCTCCCACAAATTTTCAGATATATGCACTGATCAACAACATTTTTTTTAAATCCGAAAGATGTAATGGTATCATTAAACTTTATACATCATTGTCTGAAAGCTTGTTTAAGACCATAAATTGATTTCTTTAATTTGCAAGCTAAGTGTTCTTTTCCTTCCTTTGTGAACCCTTCAGGTTGATCCATATAGATATATACATATAAATTCTCATTCAAGAAAGCAACCTTCACATCTATTTCATATAATTCTAAATTAGAATGTGCTACAAGTGCCATAATGATTTTAAGGGAGTCCTTTTTAGAAACTAAAGAGAAAGTATCTCTATAATCTATAGTTTCTTTTTGAGTAAAACCTTTGGTCAATAGTTTGGTTCTAAATCATTCGATAATGCTTTTAGTATCGCGTTTAGTCTTGAAAACCCATTTACAACTGACACTTTTACCATTATCAGGTAATTCGACAAGATCCCGGGCATCATTATGGTTTATAGACTTTAACTCTTCTTTCATAACTTTTATTCATTTATTATAATTATCACTTTTCATAGTTTGTGAAAACATAACCGAATATGTTCTTATCCCAATATCAAAATCAGATTCTTATAGATATATCACATAATCATCTTATATAGCAGATTTTCTTTCCATTTGAGATCTTCTCAAATGTATTGATTGAGGTTGTTTTATAATATTTTCAATGGTGACATCTTCTTGTGGTAATGAACTATTTCTATTATGTAGCTCATTTTTTGTAACTTGTTGAGAATGATGAGCAAAAGTTGTTTTTTTGAGGCAAAAATGATGGTGTGATATCCACTATTATTTCCTCAATGTCTACTTTTCTTGGTTCTTTACTCCCACTAATTTCACCATTTTTTAA